TAAAAAAGACAAAATCATAAGCACCTCCAGGCTAAACAGGTAGTAGATAGATGAATAAGTAAATAAATAACCTTTCTACTCCCCACAGAAAATACAGTTGTCCTGGCAATCTGGACGTGCTTTGTTTCCACACCAAGACCCTTATAATCACCCCAATTTGAGCAAAATCTACCCAGTTGCTCTTGGAAGATAACTCTCAAGTCCAATTCCTCTTGGAAAATAACTCCAAACAGATAAATTTCTCGAAAGGTGACAATCCTACACCTCTGTCTAGCCAAGACATTTTGTCCATCTGCTTCTCCTGGCTGCAATCTGGCTCCATGTAGGAATTTTACATCCCCCCCAGCTAAATGTAATGTCATGCAAAAGATTTAAAGAGAAAGGTAAAAGGATTAGTAGACTAATCGATGGAAGATATTAACACTCTTTCATGTTGGGTTGAAGAAGGATTTGAGGTCATCAGGAGACAGGGGAACAGGAGAATAGACCTCAAGTATTCAAAAGACTCTATGGATTAAAATCCTATTAAATTCCTATCAGCCAGGAGCCATTTGAGAAGGTTGGGGTTTCTTTAACTTGTCACCATAATTAGCCTTCCCTTAAGCTGTTTTGGGTGGGAAACTTTAGCAATTAAGAAACTGAAAACTTTCATTTTCTAGCACCCATACGGCCTTTTGAATGGTTTAACAACTAGAATGGAAAGTGATTTAGCCCAATTGATTTGAGGGGTTCAGATCTCCCCCTCCTTCAGCCTGTTGTCAGACTCACCCCTGAGATCTGAGCCCCTCAATAGAAAGGGCACTTTGCTGAATGAAAGAATCAAAGGTTCAGATCTACGAAGATGCTTTCTTCTCCTAATCATCCTCCCGAGGAGTTCAATGGAAAGAACAATTCTGCAAAGGGATGGCTGTTTCCCCTAAAAAAAAAAATCTGTTTCTGGGCCCAGAAGCCAGTTCACAAGAAACTAACCCAGAAACCCAAAGGGCCATGTCTTTCAGCAGGTGCAAGGGTCAGGAAACTGTGCCAGGGAAGGACAACCAATATGGGCCGGGGTGAAGAACCAGCCAAAGAAACAAGGGTCCTGAGACACACACTGTTTTGGAAGGTTAGTCTGAGCAGTGTTTTCCTCACTAGGTAAAATATCGCCCCAGTGTTTAACATCAATACCCTGCCACTTCCGGCCCCGCCAGGGAATCAGACCTGCGTCACGTTCCACCTCTGATGAGCCCAACATTGATGACATGGTGCCTCAAGGTCAGAGCGTGGGCTTCCTCACTTTCACACTTGCTGGGTCCTCGGAGTTAAGGTGGAATCGAGGCCAAATTCTACCAGCCGTGTCTCCATCACAGCACCCACCCCTCTTCTGCATTCACCCGGCTGCCCAGTTGCCCTCGTCAGCCTGTGAGCTCCCTAAGGACAGGCCCTGCCAGCTCTTTCTCCCTCCAGCTCTAAGCACGGTGCTCGGCAGAGAGCGGTGCCCAGCACTCTCTTTCCCACAACTGCAGAGGATTCACTCTGTGCCTGAAGGCAAGTCATGGCCTCTGATTATAATGGATGAAAAATTAAGGAGGCTGTTGGGCTGCATGACCTCTGAGGTCATTTTCCAGTTCCCAGAACCTCTGAAAATGCAGTTGTGTACCGGCTAGCTTTTCGTGGCTCCTGTGCTCAAGTCATTATTTATAATAACAATGATGATAACATTAAGAATAGAGAACCTCTATTAAGCCCTTAACTGTGCTCTGGGCTGTCCTCAATACACCACTGGTGTTATTTCATTAATCTTGTAAGACAGAGACTTCTTACTTGAATTCAATACAGTGATAAACTATGATGATCAATAATCTGCCCCAAATCACACCAAGTGGGTGTCCTGGTTCCGGAGTCTGGGCTCCTAACTGCTCTTCCACATCTGCTTTCTGAGCCTCCAGTTCAGGCTGCCAGCCCTTCAGCTGATCTCTGTATATCTTCCCTGCCTCCCCGAGGGGCTGCCTGCCTGCCTGTCAATTGCTTTGAATTTCTACCCCAGGGCCCCAGCTGGCCCGGCCTCCACCTGCTCCCAGCAGAGGCAGAGCTCGCCCCAGGATCCGGCAGGCCCTTTGCCCCGAGGGCCTGAGGCTCCTGTTGGGAGCAGGTGGCCGGAAAAGCAGGAGAAGGAGGTCATCAGGGAAGCAGCTCACTCAGAAGGTAGAATAAGAAGGGAGGCAGACAGGGTTAATTTGAGGAGGAATTCCAAGTGCCCCCCAACCCCAGACACCAGTGACCAGAGCTGCATACATGGCTGCCACCATCAGCAAGGGCAGACACCCAGGGTGGACTTCCTGGTCTCGGTTACAGCCACAGAGAGCAAGGGCAGGAAGGGAAGAGATCCCCTAGGATGGCTTCAGAGGAGTCTTTTAGAAAATGCTTCAGTGGCCTGTGGTGGAGGAGGGGGGTGGAGTGGTGCAGTCTTGTGTCTCATTCTATAGCATCTCTGCAGTAATTATTAACATGTTATCTTCAACTACAGAGCCTGAGATCCTCTTGAGCTAGTCTTTAATGTTGTGGCCAAAAAAAGCTTTTGATTTTAGATTTTACAACAGGAAAATAATTTTGATTATATAGGAAAAAATAGTTCATCTCAGCAATCACTTCTAAGTAGTGACCCAAATGAGTTGAAAACTTTGAAAACAGAAAAACCTGCACATGAATATTTAACAGCCTCACCCATAATTGCCAAAATTTAGAAGCAGCCAAAATGCCCTTCAATAGATTGAGCAAAATGGATAAACGAGATGTGGCACATCTATACAACGGAACATTATTCAGTGATTACCAAAAAAAATGAGCTATCAAATCACAAAAAGGCATGAAGGAAACCTGCTAAATGAAACCAACAAACAAAAAAAAACACAGTCTAAAAGGATATAGGGACATCCCTGGTGGTCCAGTGGTTAAGATTCTGCCTTGCAATGCCCAGGACACAGGTTCGATTCCTGGTTGGGGAACTAAGATCCCACATGTTTCAGAGCAACTAAGCCCTCATGCCACAAGTAGAGAGTCTGCAACAAAAGATCCCACATAAGGTAACTAAGACCTAATAAAGACCCAACACGGCCAAGTAAATAAATATTTTTAAAAAGGATGTATAGTCTGTGGTTCCATATTCATACAGCATAACATTCTGGAAAAGTCAAAATCACGGAGACAGTAAAAAGATGAACGGTTGCCAGGGAGAAAGGGGAGGTGGGGGCGGGGATGTGCCCGTGGGGCACAGGGCACTGTGAGAGCTCTGAAACCATTCTTCGTGACACGTAATGGCAAACACATGACATCACGCATCCATCAAAATCAACAGAACTCTCCAATGCAAAGCATCACCCCTAATGGGAACTCTGGCCTTTACTTAACAGTCACCTATTAGCATGGCTCATCAGTTCAACAACCACCACATACTATCATCTATCCAGCTGGGCACTGTTTTAAGCACTGACTATGCAAGGTCTCATTTAATGCCCACAGAAGTCCTGTGAAAAATAGAGGTCAGGGCTGTAAAACAGACTTGTCAAGGGTCTCAAAGCCAATAAGTGGAAAAAGTAGGGCTTGAACTGAAGGCTCTCCAAGGCCAAGCCCATGAAATTCCTACACTGTATTGCCCTAACTCCTCTCCAGGGCAACATTTTGTAATAGGGAAGAGCAAGCATGACTCCATATTAGATGCTGCTTTTTTTATTTTAACCTTTGAGCTCTGCTGCCAGTGGTTAGTCACACGGGCTCTCTACCTTTTATAAAAGAACTTGCCTAGAACCTAAAATATACAGGTTGGCCCATTCTCAGGGCTCTGGCCTTTATACGTATATGGGTAAAAAGTTGCAAAACAGAGAATGACATTTGTTTTGTTGGGGATTCACAGGAACATCGTGACCTGACCCACAGGGACACCTGCAGGAACACGAGATTCCTGCACGAAGAAGTTTGCCATAGACAACTAACTTCTCTTCTTAACATAAAAATATAATGCGGACTATTTTTACTAAAATAGCCCAAATTCTGACTGGGGTAAGATGGTTCTTTCAGACATCAGTCTGCCATCTTCTAGGTCTGCTGGCTTTCTGAATAGTCACTAATCCTTGTCCCCAACAACTTGTCTCCTGATTTACTGGCCCATCGTGTGACAGAGCAGAACCAGTTTGGATTCAGTAGCAATTTCAGTAAGTAAACCAGTGGGCAGAGCAAGTCTCGACAATTGCTCTGTTTAGTCATTCATGCACAAATATTTGCTGAAAGCTATGTAACTCTAAGGATATTAATGTAGGTAAGAGACTCTCCCTGCCTACAGGGAGCTTGTAATGTAGTGGAAGAGATAATGGAAGTCCTAAGAACAAGGAACCAAAAAGCTCCAGCTCATGAGAAGCACATGGGGAGAGATCATGAGATGCAATAGAGATTACTAAAGAATCTGTCCTGACATTATATTTAAATAGAAAGCACCCTGGACACCCTAATCATCCTACCTCTAGAGATTGGGAAATTTTGAGAGCATAATAATCCACCAATGAAAAATTGCACTATAAGGCAACTAAAGACAGCCAATATAAGAAACAGCTATCCTGAGGAAGGGGAAAAGGAAAATGTCTAACTATGACAGGCACTATTCTGCATCCCTAAACTACATCCTCTCACTAAATCCTGGCCTTTCATGGTAGAGATGACCTTTGACATTATTTTTTTGTTAAGTTTTTTTTCATGTGGTCACACAGAGTCAGACAGAACTGAAGCAACCTAGCAGGAGCACGATTTTTAAAATCTTTATTGAATTTGTTTCAATGTTGTTTCCGTTTTATGTTTTGGTTTCTTGGCCACAAGGCATGTGAGATCTCCGCTTCCCAACCAGGGATGGGACCAGCACCCCCTACATTGGGAGGCAATGTCCTAACCACTGGGATCCCAGGTCAGTCCTTCTTTGCCGTTACTTTACGATGAGGATGTAGAGCTATTTACCTTGTGAAATTCCTGCCTCTCACCTGTGTCTTTCTTCTTATCCCGGGAAAGCTCGTGCACAGTGGCACCAATATCATGTCTCAAGATCTTGATGATGTTTGCCAGGGCAGGCACGCTGCGCTGATCCAGATTGGTGAAAAATTCATACTCGTCTTTCTTTAAACGTGAAGGTCTTGATTCAATGTGGGTCAGGTTTATATCATTCTCCTAGAAAAGAGGAGTTAAGGGAGTATGAAGGGGACAGTAACTGGAATAGACACAGACCAAACACGCAAAACCAGAGCAAACACAACACAATGTGAAGTGAGAAAGAAGAGTTCTTTTTTCCCCCTTTCTTCCTTTTTTCCCCAATATAAGAGTAGAAGAAAGCCTTTAACACAGCAACAATTGTTTACTTTTTCTTCTGCAAAACCAAATAACAAATCAAATGTTAGGGAAATAGTTCAAATGTCACAGAATTTAATCACGTGGAAATCTGCTCAAGGCCTAGAATTGTAAACATAAGATTTCAGTTTGGTACACAGAAGCAAGGCTGCGCTGCTTGGATAGAGTCCACAAGAGTCAGGCTTTTGGGGTTTAAATCAAAGTCCTTAACTATATCAGCTACGAGACCTTAGAAAATGTACTTTTATATTTCTAGCCATCAGTTTCTCCATCTGTAATTTTTTGGGTAGTTGTGGTGCTTAGTCGCTCAGTCGTGTCCGACTCTTTGCCACCCCAAGGACTGCAGACCGCCAGGCTCCTCTGTCCATGGGATTCTCCAGGCAAGAATGCTGGAGTGGGTTGCCATGCCTTTCTCCAGGCATTCATGGTACCTGGTTCATAAATTTCTAGGAAACACTGAATGAGATGATACATACAGACTGCCAGGTACATAATCCATGCTCAGTTAAAATTATCCAGTATAAATACTGCTCATACTTTTATATAATTACTTTTCATTCCAGTTATGCCACAAATGTATATGTAGCACCTGCCAGGTACTGATCACTTTCTAGGTGGCTGGGATACAGTAGTGAACAAAACAAAGATATTTTCCTTTAATAGAGTTTACATTCAAGTTGTGAAGATGCAAATAACAAACAAAAAAGATAACTGATTTTTGTATTATAATGACAAAGGCCAGGGGAAAAATCAAAGCAGAGCAGGATGAAGGAGACAGGTAATCTTTGAGTGGAACGGGGCAGTTTCAATAATTAACAGAATGGACAGGGGAAGTCTCATTGAGAAGGGAAGACTCATGTGCATTAAATGCCGCAAAATAATAATCACTTAACACAGCTTCTCAACTTCAATGTCTCTGGCTGGTGATACTTTAGCCCTTATGGAGTTCATCAGTAAAAAGAGTCACTTGCTTAAACTGGCCCTCAAATTTCAATGTGTGGTTTTCATTATTACTTATTCAAAACTCTGATTTCATTGACAGTACTGTTCTTTGTGAAGAAAATCCAGGAGTATCCTCTTTATTAATTTTTCTTTAAAAGAGGGTTTCTCCAAACATTGAAACAGACAAAATGTAGCCAGAAAAAAATGCTTAACTTGAATAATTCTATAATTGCAAAGAAATGAAATTCATCAACCTTAGAGTTCAAGAAGTGTATCTTTTTCCTTGATGGTTAGTGGCATATGGTTGAAGAGCACATGGATAATTACAGTAATGATACTTAAATACAGTGATGATATTCAAATAATATCACTTTACAGTTTCAACTTATTTTCTGTGACCTTCTCAAGAATCCTCTGTAGAGGTTAAGGAAGATGTGAAAAACGAAATCAGAGACCAAGATGCTTTGTTAAAAGGGGCCCGAGAGGAAGCTGCTGTGAAACACCTGAGCTCAGCTCGGGGCTCTGTGATGACCTGGATGGCTGGGATGGGCGATGCTTGGTGGCAGGGAGGGCCAGAAGGGAGGGGGTATATGTATACATACAGCTGATTCGCTGCGTTATGCAGCAGAAACGAGTACAACATTGTAAAGCAATTAGTGTGGTTTAGTTGCTAAGTCACGTCCAACTCTTTTGCAACTCCATGGACTATAGCCCACCAGGCTCCTCTGTCCATGGGATTCTCCAGGTAAGAATAATCGAGTGGGTTGCAATTTCCTTCTCCAGAGGATCTGCCCAACCCAGGGATGGAACCCGGGTCTCTTGCATTGTAGGCAGATTCTTACCATCTGAGCCACCAGGGAAGCCACTTGGGAAGCCCAAAGCAATTACACACCTATTTAAAAAAAAAAAAGTGGCTGGAGAGAGAAGCTCATTTTCTTTAACCTTAGACATTGGTCTTTGAACCACACGACCTGTCCTGCCTGGGACATGGTGAGCATCCCACAGATACCAGGTCTCATCATTCTTATTAGTATTATGCCAAGTCCCTCAAAGTGAAGACACTATGGGAGTAAACACAATCATAGGCAATCCTGCACAGGCACTGCTTCCTGCTCCTTCTTCCCCATAATTCTCAAGGGTACATGATAAAGCCATTATATATGGGCACCAGCTGCAGAAGAACATACCCCTGCCCAGGTAACACAATGTGGGGACTTCTGACCAGAGAGAGAGAAGATCACGTGGAGGAAGGAAGATCAGACAGATAGCAGTTGCTCTAAAGCTTTCTTTGCAAACAGAGGTGACTTCCTAATGGAAACAAAGAGCAATGTCATCCTTCTTGGCTCTGGATGAAGGCGAATGGTTAAGCTCCGCCTATTGACCTAAGCTGAAACTTTAAATGAAGTTTAAAGTAACTTCAAACTTTAACCAATTCCTGCCTTGTTAAGAGCAGAGAAAAAACAGCAAAGCCAAGAAATAGGAGTGGATGCACCTTGGGCATGTTTATTCATGGGACAGCAAGGGAGGGCGGGTGGTATAGGAGGTGGGAATGGGTGTAGAGTGAAAAAAAAATTTTTAAGTTTGGAAGGCAGACGCTACACTGATTGAGTTTCCCCACTTCTATCCCACCCCTCCTAACGCAACACCACTTCCCAGGGAGAAGTCTCTCATCTTGGAAATAGCCAGAAGACAATGTATGCCGTGTGTACACCACCTTGAGTAAAACAGAGAGCTGGTAGGAAGCTGCCGCATAGCGCAGAGCTCAGCTCAGAGCTCTGTGATGACTGAGGAGGGTGGGAGGGAGGGAGGGAGGGGGCCTCAAGAGGAAGGGAATAAACATATACTTCCCGCGGATCCACTTCATTGTACAGCAGAAACAAACACACGGCTAAGCAATTTTGCTCCAGTTTAGAAAAATAAAAACAACGTATGCCCCATGACTCAGCTTTTGTCATTCTGGAGACCTAACTTATGGGAGAACTTTTTACCAAAATTTGTAAGCCGACTACACAAGAGTGGAATGATTAGATGGGCTATAGAGTAATCATCACTGGAGATCCTGCAACCATTAAAAAGAAACTAACAACAACGTGTGTAAAATAAAGTGCCAGCAAGCACTCCACGGTGATGACCTCCGGTGATGAGTCTGAGCAAATTCCAGGAGACAGTGAGGACACGGAAGTCTCGCGTGTCACAGCCCATGAGGTCGCGAAGAGTCGGACATGGTTTAGCAACTGAACAACTCCAGTGATGGGCCTCAGGGTGGTTTTTGTCTCTATTTTCTTTTTGATCACAGTTCAACTTTTCAAAAAACAATCTTTATTACTAAAATTTAACTTTCTCTGTTAAATGACAGACCCTTGGGAAAATACCTATGATGGATATAGGTATGTGATAGATAATTAAAATATGTTTTAAAACTTCTGTCCAATGCAAGGAAAAAAGGCTAGAATGAAAGGCATCATGATATTATGTCAAGATTATGTGTAACTTCCGTTTATTTGCCAAAAGTTTCATACTATTACCGATGCAACAAAAATTAAAATATATCTTTTTAATGTGAGTGAAATTTCTGGCTAAGATCACCCAGCTAAATTCTTCAGATGATTTCTTTCCCATTTGAATCAATTAATTCTCTAGCTTAGCATGCAATTTCCTTAGTGGTGTTTCTCTGGTTTAATAGCGTGGATCCTTAGATACCAATAATTTTGGTTGCTAAGAAATGCTTTAGAAATGAACCTCCAAATCTGAATATGGTCATAGTTACCTTTTAAGAAATGAATTTTTATTATTATTTATTTATTTGGCCATGCCACATGGCATGTGGAATCTTAGTTCCCCAACAGGGATTGAATCCACACTCCCTGCAGTGGAAGCACAGAGTCTTAACCACCGGACAGCCAGGAAGTCCCTGAATTTGTATTTTCAAACGAGGGCTCTATGCAAGTTAAAAATTGACCCATGCACACTCACCACATTTTCGCGGACATTTTGGCAGAGGCAAGAAAAGTTAGAGCTCAACATGGCAAAGCCAATTTCACAACTTGCCCAGGAGTTAATTTCTGCACACAAGAAGGCAGAGTGACAACTTGACGACTCAGGACTCTTGAACAGAGCGTGGGGACCAGAAAAAAGCAAAGTGAAACGAATGGTCTATTTTAACAAGGATTGACCAGAAACCCTTTTGTGCTCCCATCCATGAGGAAAATCTTCGAAAAGGGGGGTTCGTCATGAATGAATGACGATGAAACACAGAATGGATATGATGAAATGTGAAAAATGGATTCGTGCTTCTGGACCTTTTCTTGAACTCAAGCTCCTTCTTTTCCTCTTCCATTTCATTCCTCAAGGAAAGAAGAATGGCAACGTGAAAAGTGTGGGCTTTGGGACTAATCTGAGTTCAAATTCTGTTCTGTACTCAATACCTTTGGAAACATTAGTTAGCCATTATGAACTTTTATTTTCCATGTTTAATATAAAAATCATAATATCATCTGGCAGCTTAAAGAGCATTAACAAGAGAGAAAGCGCCTAGCACCATTGTGGCTTCAATCGCAGTTCCTCAGTAAGAAGTCAGTATAGCCTACCTTTCTCAACCTGGCACAGATACATATTCTCCTGGAAACTGAAACACATTAAGCTGGCAAGTCACTTCCCCTTTAATATTTGCTGTACTTTAAGCTCTTCTCAGCTTTTCCCCTGAAAGTATGTTTCCAAAAGGAGAATGAAATGCTGAGCATATTTTCAGATGAGACTAGATTGGAAAAGGGGAGCTTCTTGAATTCTTGGACCTCCTACATGCTGTTGCCTTGGCATAAGCTCAAATGAAGTTATGTCCTGGTCTGTTTCAGAGCTTTCTGGGGTGGGAGGCAACATCAAAG